TAAAATGCAATAAAAATTAAAATTTTAATAAAAAATGCTCAGAGCCCCATTTTCCTAGCAAACCTCCCATATGTTAAATATTTTATAATAAAGTATATGATTTTGCATTATATAAAGTCACATTAAATAAAATTTACTATATGAATTTTTGTAAAAATTGAAGATATAAAAAACATTTTTGCCTTATCTAAGAAGAAATACATTAGAATATATATTGTTATTCAAATAAAAATGAAATATATCATTAATAATCAAAATAATAACTAATAGTAAACTAATACAAATTTTATAAATCTCACTTGCTTTAATTATAAACAGCTAAGACATTAAAAGAAATCCTTTTTTTTTAATAATTAATAATAATAACAAAATAGCTTTATAAATAATTAACTATCAGTAAAAAATCTTATTTTAACAAATAACACTACTTTATATTAGTAAATACAATAATGAATATAATAAATAATAATCTAAATATGCAAATATGCAAATATTACAATTATTAGTATAATTATTAGAATAGAGTCCTAAACAGGTCAGGTTAAGGTGGGTTAACTCATAAATCTGATCTGAATAATAGGTTAAACAGATTGATCTGACCTAAATAATAAGTTAACAGATTGTTCTGACCTGAATATTAGATCAAATAGGTTGACTTGACCAATTTGTAACAAATGCATCATTCCTTAAGAATGATAAAAGAAATATTATTAGAATAGAGCTCTAAACAGGTCACGTTAAAGTAGATCAACTTATAAATCTGACCTGAATAATAGATATACAGATTAATCTGATCTGAATAATATGTTAAATAGGTTAACTTGATCTAACCTGTAACAAATACATCATTCCTTAAGAATGATAAAAGAAATCATTCTAAAGAAATGATAATATATCCTTTCTTAAGAATGATAAAGAAATTTATTCTAAAGGAATGATGATGAATTATTTTATAAGGATGATAAAAAATCATTTTAAAAAACTGATAATATATCATTACAAAATAATAATAAAAAATAATTATTCTTTGAAATAATGAAATATTACTGTATATTGTGGATTATAGTATCTTATGTATAGTATCTACCTGTATAATGTATTCTCATGTATAGTCATAACTTCTAAAATTTACAAAGGATCTGAGTATTATAATCTGCAATATTTGCAATATACAATAACTTAGATTTTTCAGAATATATTATTTTTCTAATATTATTAAAAATTAAACATAGAATATAATAAAGCATTTAAGATAATATGGGTTGTGATCTAAGAAAATCAAGTTCTGAGAATTTTTTAATAAAATTGAGATTTTAATTGCATTTTAATTTTTATTACATTTAGATTAAAATGTAATAAGATATTAATTTTAGTCAAAAATTTCTCAGAACTTGATTTTCTTAGATCACAACCCATATAATAAATATCAATAAAGAAAAAAGAAAACCTTTAAGAATAGTTAACAATATTCCTTTTAAAAAATAAATTTTAATTAGATTTAGATTAATTCAGATTTTTATAATATTATTTTTAAAATAATATTTCTTAATAAAAAATTATTTTAAGTTTGATTTAAAATAAAATAATTCAATTTATTTAAAAAAGTTACCTTATTTATAATAAAAAATAATATTTATTATAAGAAATAAAATTAATTATCTTAAAAATAAAATATTAAAATTATTAATCCTTATAATTTAAAATTTTATTTAAAGGTTTGAATCCTGTATAAGCCACTACTATATTCGTCTTAATATGTAGAAAATACTTTAAAAGCAATATTAGTAAATAAATTGCAAATTTCCTTTTTTGGAAGAAATAAAGTTTTATTTGCACTATTACCTTTAAAAAAAGGGAAATTTATAGGGAATTTGCATATATATTTTTAGTAATTTGATGTTAACTACTATAAAGTAGAATTATATTTTATGAATTCCATTGAACATTTCGTTAAGAAATGCTGACATAATAAATTTTAAAACTTTGAAAATCATATTATCCGTTTATTTACATAAAATTTATTTGTCCTTATTGTACGATCTATCTTCCAATCATACAAGAAACGATTTCCATGCAGTTCAAGGAAGAAATTGCTCGTAATTATGATTTTTATAATAACAAATAATCATCATCTGAACTGTTTGATTTATTGACCATACACTTTCAAAATGTTCAGTTTATTAATTGTCTTATAATAACCCAGATGCACACTGCGATCATAAATTTGGGCATAACAATGGATTTTTAACATCAAACGCAAAACACAACCATCAATGCTATATCCCCCTAAAGTTCAGCACTAACCCTTTATTTGCCGATAATCGACCACGCCATCATTTTGCCAAACAAATATTAAATTGGCTGATACAATAAATTTGCAACTCCATACAAAACGCACTCAGTGAAGAAGTTGTAAATTACGAGGATAACCTAATTGATATTCCATGACGTCATAATAGTGATTTATTTCATGTCATCTTCATGTTACATTGTAAAAGCTCATTAAAATAATAAATTGAATTCATCATGATTTTCCTCTAACATTACTTCTTTAAGAGATGAGACAACTTCGTGTATATCAGGACGTTCATCAGAACGATATACCCAGCAAGCTGGTTACAAATAAATAAATAAAAAAAAAAAATTTGATATAAGATTTCATAAACACAATAAATTATTATTATTATTTACCTTTATATAAGTTACTGTATTTAATAGGTGTATCTTCAATATCCTCTTCCCTTTGCCCTTTCTTGATTTCCTTGACCAAATCTACATCATATTCTATACCCTCAGGATAAAAAGGTCTCCGTCCACTTGATATTTGCCATAAAAGAACTCCTACGCTATAAATATCTGATTTCTTATTTAGTTCATAAGTTTGAACATCATCTTGGAGTTTGTAAATGCTATTTAAACATTGAGGATCCATATAAGGAATTATCCCAAATTTATTTGTAAATTCATTATTATTATCATTAGTTGAATCTTCGCTTATTTTCCTTGCTAACCCAAAATTTGTCAGTTTAATATTATTCTGATGTACGAGGATATTGTACGCATGCTAATAAAAGGAAAAAAAATTAATAAAAAAAATTATAAAAAATAATATTATAAGGTACAATCTTATTACCAGATCTCCATGAACTATATCTTCATTATGAATACATGCTACAGCATTGCCAAGTTGTAAAGCTAAACGATATTTATCGTTCCAATCAAGTCTGTCAAAATTTTCATTTAGGTAACTATGCAGTGAACCACCGTCAGCGTATTCCATAACCAACAGATACTTGTTTATATGATGAATCAACTCGGTTCTTAATTTAGAGATTCCATAAAATCGTAAAACATTTGCATGAAAATCCACTTCTCGTTGTATTTTTAACTAATAATTAATATATTAATATCTTTTGTGAATAATTAATTTACTAAATCTTAGATATATTTATACCTCATTCACGATTTCTTGAACGGTTAATTTATATGAAGATTTTAAAACTAATACAGTATCTGAATCTTTCCAATTTGCACGAAAGATATTTCCAACCGAACCGTTGCTAATTTCTTGTATATTATTAAAATGTGAATAATCATAATACTTAATATGTTCTTCGACAATGGCCTTTTCTAACCAATCAATGTCATAATTGGGATCATTTTCTTGATTCTCGAAGATACTTGACATATTTTTACGAGTAAAGAAATTATTTGAAAAAAGGTTATTCATTTATTACTATTTATCACTAATTATTATTGGTTAGTACATTCGTGCTACTAAATCTAGAATAAACCAATTTTTATTTCGATGTTTTAATTGTCAACCTATTAATATTAGGCGTCTATATTGATATGCATTTTATATATATATATAAATAGTCTACCAGTTTAATTCTCCCAAAGAGCCGCAAGCATTGAGGATGTTAAGACTCGAGGCATTGTATACGATTGTTTGTTTATCCACAAATATGGTTCCGAATTATGAAAATATCACGGTGTATTCATTGCTTCGTCCAAGTGAACTTTCAAGTATTCTTGACCTCTTAATATAGATTTTCGAATTGATTTATCTCCAGTGTAATACATAGATGAAGTTTTTAATAAACGAATAAAATAACCTGATTCTTCTAGATTTCCCATGCTATTTCACCCAACTACCATCTTCGTGTTGATTTTTAATCTACAGTTTGATGATGCGTTAAAGTTAAAAGAATATCGATGGCTTTGAATGTTGGATAACCGGGACTCTAATTCCAAAATCGCTTCTTTAAATAATAAAATCCTCAACGGATACAATGATTTCCTCAATTTTAACCTTTTGAGCAAATACCAGATTTAGTCATGACAGGAAATGACATGGATTCAATTCCTTTTATTTTTGCTTTTCCATATTCTAGTGTTAAAAGATTCAAGGCGATTTCCTTGGAAAGGTTAAATCATGGCTCATCCGATCGACAGGAAGTTAATTGATTATAAAATTTCCAAGAGTCAACAAGTTACACAATCAAAAAATTGATCCTTATACTATTTAAGTTTGAATAATACATTAAATGTATACTAAAATATTTACCATTTACTTTTTGAATAGGATAATATTATGATTTATTTCGATCGATCGATCTAATAATAGGGTTCTAAATAATAATCGTTAAGATAAAAAAACGGATCATAAGTAGAATTTTTGTACAACAAAAAAAAGTTTTAAGAACAAAATTGATAAAACAGATCGTGTTGCTTGCTTTATTTTGTCAATTATACATAAAAAAACCCCCATCGTTTCTTCTTTAAATAGTAATGTTTAAAACAAAGAAAATTTATTTTTGTTCTTGTGTTTTTTTTTTTATATAAATATGTAAAAACTTGAAGTAGTTCTTTTTAATTATGTCAAGTAAAAAACCATGTCTTTGAGTGATAGCCTTCCACAAGTTTTCGTCGTTTTGTTCAGTACTTTTATTCTTAATATCCAGAGTTGTAAAAATGAGCGATCTCATTGTAAATTAGATGAATCCAATAATGATTCAATAATCTCTTCACGTTTTTCTACCGTAAAAAGGGATGTCTTTAAAATTGGATTTACATTAATTCAAGCTAGTTCTTTTGCTTTTCTATTCGGATGGAAATTTGATCGAGAACAAGACAAAAATTCGGTTTTATCCGTCGGATTACTTGCCGTTTGTTGGGTAATAATTTACTTAACTCGATTATTCTCTGTCTCTTTCTCTTCATTTATGAACAACATAATAAAAAAATTTTGCAACCTTTTTTTTTTAAAAAAAAACAAAATAAATAAATACAAATATAAAAAAAAAAGTTTTATGCATTTGCTTTATCAGCAATCACAATCTCTTCCAGATCAAGAACTATTGTATGGATTATTAATTGTCATTTATCAATATTTTACGCGGTTGCGTCAATTTGTTCCCTTTGGCAAATTCGAAATGTGCTCAAACATGCATGGTCCATCGAGTCAGCAATGACCATCGGCAATTTAATGGCTTCAATATTGTTAACATATATCGCATTTACTACGCCAAAAGGGTCAAAACAATATCATAAAGGCAAACCCGTATTCGCGGATAATTATTGTTCTTTTTGGGCTTTTCTCACCTTTTCAACCGTTACTCCATTAATGAAGAAAACGCTCAAGCTTGGACGATTGGATGATTCTGATCTTGATCAACTTTCTTATTCTCACAGAGCTTCAACATTATATGAAAAATTCAAAAGTTTACGTGGGCGAAAATTGCTTTATCGAATTTGGAAGGCCAATCAAAGTATTATTGTTCTTCAAGTTGCTTTGATCACAATTGTATCATGTTTATATTATTTGCCAACGATTTTTTTTTATCATTTCCTGGAATTTATTCAAAATAAATCACCTGATGATTCCTTGGAATGGGGATACATTTATATCTTTGGAATGCTTTTAAGTAATATTTTGGTTCAATTGGTTTATGGTCAAAATCGATATTTTAGCTCTGTTGTCTTGCCATGTAAAATAAGGGGGATGCTTAATAGTGAAATTTATTTTAAGAGTCTAAAGACTGTGGATAATACGAGGAAAGTTAACGTGGATGACAACGAAAATGCAACTGTCGGCAAGATTGCAAATTTGATGTCGGTGGACACTAATCGTATATGCGAATTTGCGGTGGCATTGAATGGTGTAATTGATTGTCCGATAGAATTAATCGTTGGAGTTTATTTCTTGTATCAATTATTGGGATTGGCAAGTCTTTTAGGGTTGCTTGTTTTATTTGTGACTTTCCCTATCAATCATCAAACAGCCAAACTTTATACAAAAACTCAAGATAAACTTATGAAAGCGAGAGATTATAGAACTAACCTTATGCATGAAGTATGATTATTATTTCAAATGCTTAGTAATTTTTGGTAATGATTAATTTCGAAGTTAACTCACCTTTATTATTAATTTTTTATTTTTTTAAATATGTAGATTCTTCAGGGGATTAGAATGATTAAATTCTTTGCGTGGGACAATAAATATGAAGATCGCGTGCTAGGTAAAAAAAAAAAAAAAAAAAAAAAAAATAGTTTTTCACATTATTTGTTAACAAAAAGAAAATTGATATTTATATTAGAGGCGCGAACGAATGAATTAATACAGCTACGCAACAATTTTTTATGTCGGTCGATCTTTGATCTTTTATGGATGGCGTCTCCAATCTTGGTTACAATATTCAGTTTCTTTATCTTTACCAAAATTCAAGGAAACGAACTTACAGTTTCGATTGCATTCACATCAATTACAATATTCCATGAATTAGAATTCGCATTTAATGCCTTACCGGAGTGTATTATGTAAGTATCAAATTAATTTCGCTCCTTAATTTATCGAGAAATCATTTATGAAAAGTAAATTGCTTCTATTGATTAGGGATGGTGTTCAAGCATTCGTCAGTCTTGACAGAATTGAGGAATTTTTAGGTGAAGAAGAAATTAGTCTCCCTTTAGATGTGGAACATGATGAGATAAACTCCAAGATTGCTTTTGAAAATGTGACAGTTACTTGGAATAAAAATTTTGAAGATAAAATTGATGAGAATGAATTCATGATTAAGAATTTAAACGTTGAATTTCCTATTGGTGAATTTAGTATTATATGTGAGTATATGATTTTATACGACTTTTCGACGATATATAAGGCAGTTTAATACATGTTTTATAATATACGTTAAGGTGGTCCGACTGGATCCGGAAAATCAATGCTTTTGATGTCTCTTCTGAGAGGTATGTTTAATGATCCTTCATTGAACTTTATGTAACCTACATCAAATATTAATATGGACCTATAACTATTCTATCGATTTTCTCTGATTCAAACAGAAACACATCTTGTTGAAGGAATAATTCATTGTCCCCGTTCCCCAACCAACCCTGATACTCAGGAGCTTACTACAAATAATTGGATTTTGCCTAATGGTGTTGCCTTGGTCTCTCAACAAGCATGGCTTTTGAATGCTACTATTAGAGATAATATTTTATTTGGACTTCCCTTTGACATACTTCGTTATGATCAAGTTGTAACCATGTGCTCATTAGTCAAAGATTTCGAGATGTTCCAAGATGGTGATTTAACTGAAATAGGTGAAAAAGGAATAACACTTTCTGGAGGTCAAAAACAGAGAGTCGCATTAGCAAGGTAAATTATCATATATAAAATTTGCAATTTCTAAAAGATATTAAATCAATTTTTTTGTCAAAACGTAATATGATATAGAGCAGTATATTCTAGAGCAAAGCATATCTTGATGGATGATATTCTTAGCGCCGTTGATGCGTATACTTCTAGATTTATTTTGAATGAATGTATATTAGGTCCGTTGATGAAAGGACGAACTCGGATTCTCGTCACTCATCACGTACGCTTATGTTTAACTGGCGCCACTTACATGGTAAGAGAAATTTATGATAAACATATAAGATGTATTATATATATATATATATATTATATATATATTTTTTATAAAAAAAAAAAAATCCTAAATTTATTTTCAAATTCAAATAAAGCTTGCCATCAATAATGGTAAAATTAATGTTAACGGCACAATATCAGAGTTACGTGATTCGGGATCGTTGAATTTTATTCTAGAGGAGGAAGATGGTCTTATTGATGCAAAGAACTATCCAGAATTACTTGATATTAAACAAGATGTTCAAATAATAACTGAACTACCTGATACTTCAGCCTTTTCTTTTTTTGTAAATGATTCTATACAATTGACCAAAAAGAACTCTGAGCCTAAAAAACTCATTCAGGAAGAAGGTAAGTTTTTCTTGATGGTTTTATTTGATAATAAGACGCGTTATTTTTTTCTGATAAATGGTTTTTAAATTAAATTCTTTATTCATTAGCGCGTCCAATGGGCATGGTCAAGTTTAAAATTTATATGACATATTTAAGTGCAAATGGAAATTTTTTGTTCTGGCTGTTTGCAATTATGCTTTTCTTTAGCGCAAGAAGTACTCAAGTATTAGGAAGTTGGTGGCTCAAGGAGTGGGCAAACGCAAGCACCGAAGTATCCCGTCAAAGCAATGCATCAACAACCATGACGTCATTTCATGTCAATCTTCAAGGATTTTTAAAGCACGATGTTAATCATTATTTCAGCATTTATGTTTTGATTACTGTGTCATCTATTTTTCTTGGAGTGTTCCGTTTTGTTTGGCTTTATTATGGATCTTTAAAAGCATCTCGAAAACTTTATCAAACTTTACTTCATCGAGTTATCAGAGCTCCTTTAAGATTTTTTGATATAACTCCGGTTGGAAGAATTCTTAACCGGTTTAGCAAAGATTTTGAGAATGTTGATAGCAATCTATCAGGTAATTTACAAAATAATTTAAAAATTTATTTAATTAGTAATTTTTAAAAAAAAATTTTTTTTTTAAATTAGGGGACCTTGCTTGGCATATAAACAATGTAAGTAAGAATTTACAGAATTAATTTTTAGTTATTTGTAATCTAACAAATTCTTTAGATATTCTTGATTATCGGAACAATATTGGTGATAGCCTCCATTACAAAAGGTATTCTTCTCTTTGGATAATTTACAATAATCAATTCACATAATCTTACAAAAAAAAATATTTGATTTGTTAGGATTTCTAATTGTGGCCATTGTTATGGGTAAGTTAGTTAAGTTGCTTCCCTGATGTTATATCATCGAAGTTCAAATCAATATCACCCTCAATAGGATTCTATTATTTGTGGATTGGAAAGCTGTTTGCGAATGCATCACGTGAATTGAAAAGATTAGATTCGGTGACAAGGTCTCCGTTGTTTAGTCATTTTACTGAAACTTTGAAGTAGGTTTTTTATTTCTATTTTCATTTCGCGCATTTTTTTTTATTTTTTGTTTTTTAAAAAAAAAAATCGTTTATCATATAGCGGGATCACAACCATACGGGCTTTTGGCGCGACCCGGAGATTTATGCAAGAAATGATGACAAGGTTTTTTTCTTAATTTTTTTAAGTTTTTGTTTTTATGGATTCTGAAAGTTTCTGAACCTTTTCTTTTTAATCAACTAAATAGAATTGATGATAATAATAGACCAGTGTTTTATTTAAAGCTAATAAAACGTTGGTTAAATATCAAATACAATTTAACAGGAGTTTTCGTCACATTTATTGCAGGGATCCTTTTATTATCGAATTTAGACTATATCGATCCCGGCCTAGTCGGTTTATCGTTATCATTTGCCATGCAATTTACTGAACAGATCATGTGGTACGTTAACAAATATACTGACCTTGAAATGAGTTTAAATTCCATAGAAAGGATCAATGAGTTTTCAGAAATTTCTCAAGAACCTCCTGAAATTATTGAACCAAGACCACCCGCCAGTTGGCCACATAATGGTGCAATAGAAGTTGAAAATTTAAAAGTGAGGTATGCACATGATTTAGATCCTGTGTTGCAAAATGTTTCGTTTAGTGTTAAAGGTCAGGAAAAAGTTGGAATTGTTGGAAGGTAAAAAAAATAATTTATTAAAAAAAATGATTTGATTTCTTTACGTGATTCGGATTTTTATTAAATAAATTTTTTTAAGGACCGGGTCCGGAAAGTCAACCTTAGCTTTGACATTATTTAGATTTATGGAACCATGTGAAGGGAAAATTTATATTGATGGAATCGATATTTCTTCTATCGGAGTTTATGATCTTAGGTCGAGAATTACCATCATTCCACAAGATCCAATTTTGTTCACGGGTAGAAAATTAAATTTTTTTTTACAATAGAAAAACATTTTTTCTCAAGTATTTAATTTTTTTTTATTTGTTCGCATAGGAACATTAAGAAACAATCTTGATGTATTTTCAATATATCAAGACTATGAAATTTTAGATTCTTTGCGTCGTGTTCATTTATTACCATCCGATGAAGAAGTTCAAAATGATCCATATTTAATAGATAACATTAAAGTATTTTGTAATTTAGAAACACCTATTTGTGATGGAGGAAAGAATTTTAGTCAAGGTCAAAGGCAATTATTATGTATTGCTAGAGCTTTGTTGAAAAGATCTAAAGTCATTATAATGGATGAGGCTACAGCTAGGTAATTACCGTAAGTCTGGAACTTGTGTAACGAAAGTAACCAATCACGTATCGACTCAACTCTTGAGCAAACGTCCTAACATATATAGTCTTACGCTTCGCTTCATTCTCATTATATTTTTATTGAATTCAAGAATGTAATTTATTTTATAGTATTGATTTTTCTATGGATGAAAAAATTCAAAAGATGATTAGAACTGAATTTGAGGATTGTACAGTATTATGCATCGCTCACAGATTACGTACCGTTATTGATTGTGACAGGATTTTAGTAATTGGTATGAGAAAAGCGTAAAATGCTATCTTTTTGGATAATTGATTTCTAAGCAGCTAATATTGACTTTATTATTAATTTATAGATCAAGGAAAAGTTGTAGAATTTGACAGGTATTTAAATTATTTAAAGATTATATTAAATTAGTTATAATAATTAACAATTATGTATATTATTAAATTATAATAGCCCGTATAACCTCATTAAGAATACGAATTCTCTATTTCACAAGTTGTGTCAAAATTCATGTGAATGAGTGTTGTAGTCTTAAGATAATAAATAAACGGGAAAAGTTTTAAAGGTTCTCCTTAATTGACAACCCTTTAAAATAATTGATTGTATTTCTTAATCCAAATAAAGCTCCCTCATCTTTTCCAATGCCTTTTCTAAAGAATGAATGAGCAAAGTCTATCATCTTTAAATCTGTAATTTTTAACTCATCTTCTTCATCCTCATCATCTTCATCATCCTCACCCTCATCTTCATCTTCATCATAACCATTATCTAAATTTGTATCATTTACTTTGATCCCTTTTATCTCTTTTAATTCATCCTGTTCTTTCTTTATAGCTTCAGTTAATGCATCGGAATCCCCTTCATAAACAAAAAACAAAGAAGAACTGTACAACCTTAGTTCTTGATTTTCTAAAACTTTAAAAAAAGTTTCAAGATCACTAAGAAACCGTTTTATAATTAATCGACGATGATCATTTGATATTTCTGCTGTAAAAAAATTAGCGAAAATTGACTGTACAGTATCAGGTGTAGCACTATAACTTTCTTCCTTTGTATAGTTGAAATAACTATCAGTTGACCTTTGATAAACCTGTCATAGTATAATTTAAATCAATGTTTTTTTTAATAAAAAAAAAATAAATAAAAAAATAAAAAATAAAAGAATAAAACAACTACTATTCCTTTTACCTGGAAGCCAACTATTCTAATACCTATGGAACTTGATGTGGTTATTTTAGCTTTTTGAATCATTTTCTGGCGTTTAGGCTCATCAGCGTCTTCACCCCATAATTGAGTTCCTAACTTCAAATCCATAATACAAGGTTTTTTAAACGAAAATAAAAGATTTTTTATGCAAATGGCCTGTAATAAACAAAAGAAAAAAAGTTAAGAATATTGTTTATTTATTTATTTATTTTTTAAAAAAAACAGAATACATAAATCAATTAAAAGGATATCATCAACTCCAGTAACGTTGACATGTTGTGGAGAAATTTCTTCTTTAACGGATTGAACAAAATCTTCTATAGTCTTTTGTTCGTTGGAAGTGATATCAGCGGTAACAGTTGATTGTATACCTTGTAGTTGTAGACTACCATAATATGTTGGTATCCATTTAGCAAAATCAGGATGTAAGACACTATGTTCATAAAATTCTTTTTCGATATCATTACATGGTTTTATGACTACGAAACCGTCATTCACTGATAATAATCTATCATGACCACCAATTTGATGGTCAAATTTTTGAAAAGTGTTGGTATTTTTTTCTTTTTCTTGAAATGTCATTTTTTTTTGTTTTAAATCTATTAAATAAGGTTCACTTTTTTTAGTTTTTTTTTTTTTAAGGCGTTTGGGTTGTGTAACTGTCAATCAAACGGTTTTGTTGATCGTCAACAATTACTCTGTAGGTTGAATTCTTTCGTTTCATACTTTAAAAAGTGACCAGAGACTAAAAAAGAGTGATTTTTTATATTTTAAGATAATTTTTTTATGTTTTGACAAATTAATTATAGGTAACTGTGATCGACAATGGATTTGGACATTTTGGACGGATCAACAAATAACTTTCAACTTTAAATAGAAACGATGAACGATGCAACATGAACATCCCGTTATATGCCATTGCTGATTTTATTTTTTTTTCTTTCATCTTTTTTTTATTATTAAATGTCGGAAGAATTAAGTTTATCAGAAACGTTTTCAAAAATAATTTTAAGTTTTCCGAACATTGTTTGGCATGAAAATTATTTTCCCTTTGGAATTTTAATTACGATACATGCCATATTTATATCACTTCGTTACAAAAATAATCTAAAAGAAGCACAAGTACCATGGTTACAAGGATTATTTGCAGTATCAGTAATGGGAGTTGGAGGAAGTACAATAAGTAATATCCTTATAGGAAAACCGCCAGGTTGGCTTACTTCAAATTCGATCATAACAGTTTATTGGTAAATAACTTTCGATTTCCTTGTTTTTTTTAAAAGGGTGAAATAAATTTAACATTTTATTTTTTTTTCTTAGGACGATGTATTCTTTAATAAATTATGTTCCACCTTTTTATTGGATAATTAAATTATTACCATCAGATTTACTTAATATAATATTTCTAACGGTTGATGGAATGTTACGTGCAATATCGATTTGTTCTTCGGGAGTAGACAGTGTAAGATATGGATCGTTTCATGGAATTGACAATGGATCAATAAATTCCAGTTGGGTGGCTATATTGATTACCGGAACTTTATGTGGATGCGGTGGAGGCATTCTCGATTCCGCCTTTAATATTACTTCTCAAACTTGGACATTTTCAACCCCATCAGCATTTGTTAAACCAACTTATGATATGAAAGTTAGCTTTTTCATTACTCTATTTTACGCTTTATCTAGTGCTTCCGATGATAATGCTGTTACAAATTTTACGATACCATTGTTTAGTATCAATCAAGGAAGAATTTTGGCCATTGTTGGAATGATTATGTTGAATTTGGCCAAATTGGGTTATTTTAAGGAAAGTAAAATTCCGGAACAGAATAAAATCGAGATTAAGGAAACTAAAAAAGATCTTTAAAAGTTGATTTTTACCATATTCGATTAAATCGTGGACCTATTTTTAAAAAAAAAATCCATGATATCATTGCAAACTATGTATTATAAATTCCGCAAATGGATATCACGCATCTTTAAATTTTTTAATTGGTGTTTTAATATTTAGTCATATGATCAATTTTTTAAAGGTGCAGCACGTTATACAGGTTTAATAATAATTAATAATAATAAAGGGTAAAAAAAAAAAATCATCTCGTGGTGATGTTGATTCGTGATGATTTTTTTTTTGTTTTTATTATAAATAACTATCAAACAAAATGGAAATTCCAAGTGAAAACTTATTAAACTTGTTTGGAAGTCTCGGATCAATTTTCTCGTATATTTCGCAACTTTATAAATAAAAAATCAATCAATCTGCATATAATTTATATCATTGAACTTTTGAAAGAAAAATGGGTGCAACGATTTCTAATGAAGAATTTATTTATAATGAAAAGATTAAAGGTAAAGAGAGCGTTAATTCCGCTTTGGAACCAAATTTTGATTGGGCCATCGTAGAAGAAAAGGATGATGATAATTGTGACGATGACAATGGCAAATTAATAGCTAATTATGCTGCAGTGAGTGGTTCCTTCCTTTTTTTTTTATTTATAGGAAATAAAATGATTTCAAGAAAGATGTTCTAATGATCGTATTTTAAAACGATTTTTTAAAAAAGTTTCCAAAGGAAATTCAGGAAGGTTATAAAACGCATTCAACTCATTTTGCATTTAAACATATTTTTAATGGAAATTTTAAAGCGCCTTTAAAACATCATCTCAAATCAGGTTCAAAAATTTTGGTAATTATGATGATTTTATCCTTTATTTTGAAAGAAAAAAAAGTAACAGATTAACCTAACACCTAAAAAATTTTCAATTTGAACTATCATAGGATGTGGGATGCGGGTACGGATTATGGTGTGAGGAGATGGCAAATGAATTTCCTGATGTAAATGTGTTTGGAATTGACTTAATCACAAATTTTTCGTCAAAAATCAAGCCTTATAATTGTAAATTCCTTCCCGGAAATGTTATATTTGGATTACCTTGGGCTGATAATACTTTTGATTATATTTGGTCAAGGGATTTATTCACCGAAATTAAAAGTAAAGATTGGTTAAGTTTGTTGTTAGAAATGCATAGAGTGTTAAAACCTGGGGGTATCATAGAATTTCAAGAGACTGACGGTTATGGTAAGGTTTAAATTAATAATCGGTGGGATTTTTTTTTTTTAAAAAAAAAAAAATAATAATAATTATAATAATATATCATTCTATTCAATATTTTTAAAAAAAGCATTGTCTGCCGGGCCTTTATTGAAAAATATTCAATCTAATCGTTGTGAGTATCTCTAATCTTGTAAATAACCTTTTTTTTTTTTTTTTTTTGTCACAATTTGATTTTAAATAATTTCCTCTATTTAAAAAAAAAAAGTACATGCGGCATTAACGTTACGAGATCTAGATTTTAGAATTGCGTGTAGACTTGGTGAAATTGTAAAGTTGGCAGAATTCGAAGACATAAATGAATCATATCACTCGATACCTATCGGAAAGTAAGTATTTTCTTAAGAGTGATTTTTTTTTTGTTTACGATTTAGCTCTAATCAAATATTGATTTTTAAGATGGGGTGGGAAAATAGGAGAAATTTGGGCGTCGGATTTAAAAGAATCTTATCTTTCAATGCAACCTTGGTTATCTTCATGTATGAGTATAAGTGAAGATGAATATAATCATACTATTAAGGAGATCTTTGATAAGGAACTAGACACATGCCTAACTTACATGAATCATCATATAATTTGGACGACTAAAAAACTACATAAATATTATTGGAGATAAATAACTTTTTTTTTTTCATAATTCAAACACTTGATCATTTTTTTTTTATATTTACTTAATTATAATAATTATTTACAAATTAACAAAAACAAAAAAAAAAAAAGATACAAAATATATAAATTTCTTTCGATTATTTTCTTCTATTCAGATGACCTATAATATGTTTGTCTAGACATTCCCTACAACATGCCACTTTTTTACACCTTGTACAAATTAATAAATTCCAAATATCATTTAAATCTTTAGCTTCAAAATTACATTGGACACAAATTGGTTGAACTTTTGGTCTTGTATTATCTAACCTTTGCATACTAGAATTTGCTTTTTTAATTAATTTATCGGCACTTTCTATCCCACATTGTCCGATCAACTCACATTCTTCGAAACCTTTTAAGGCTTCTAAAAGGTCACCTTTCGATTCAGCAGTTATCGCGTGACAATAATTTATGTGAATGCGAGATGCCCTTTTCCTTTGAGTTTGTTTATACGAAAAAATCCTCATGAAATACGTATCTTGCAGATTTTTATCAATCTCACCCATTAATTTCACCCCATGATTTAAGATATCTAAATTATTTGGATTTCCTAGTTGATTGCAATATAATTTTGTTAAGGCCGAAACAGTATCAAGGATAAGTTCAATATCCCATGAAGCGTAAGGAATCATTAAAGTAAGTTTTAAAGCTATAAAATAATAAGTCGCAGCAGAAACATAATCTGGAGCGATTTCCGTGACTTCCGAATCGTTATCAATGCCATTTAAATAAATCGTACCCAATTTCGTTGCGGCACTTGCGGATCCAAGTTGAGTCGCTCTCAAAAGAAGATTTATTGATTTATTATGTTCATGAGAATTTAATTTAGTTTCGGCCTCATTTATAAGGTTTGTTACAAATATTGATGTAAGGGAATTAATTTGATCATTTTGACTGTTGAAATCGGGGACCAAAGTGGTAGTTTTTTGAGAAATGGTGATAATTGAAGGATTTATCAGCTGATATGATTTTTGTGGACAAAAACATTGAGAAAAGCCCGAACCCATTATTACACGAAAATTTGTTTGAAAAAATATATAAATATATATTCCAAAAAAAAAAAGTGAGGCAAAACTCAAGTGAGCAAAAAAAAAATAAAACGAGAGTGAGGGGAACCTCGCATCTCTTATAAAGTTTGAGCTCCTTTCTTTATATGTAGCAGATCATCGATAAAGTTCTATTTTTCTTTTGAATAACATGATCAAGTGATGTTCCCTGTTTTAACTTGAACTTTATCAAAACGCCGAGATAAATATGTCCATTGTCAATCAAATGGCATGAATTGCTTCAAGTAAAAATATTATCATGAGACCTTTTTTTTTATGTCAATTTAAATTTTAGGTATAAAAGGAACATTGTCTCTTTCCTTTTTTCAAAGAAATTCATGTATGTAATTAGAAAGCTTACCATATTTATTATGGTGTTGTGTGTATATGTGCATTTACTGAACAATACCTAGATTGTTATCGCTTTTCCACGTTTAGAATATATGACACAATAACATATATTTGATCCGCATGAGTCAGCAGCGAATCGTGATCGATCGATCAAAAAAATTTACGTTCAACATTGAAAAAAAAAATGAATGATATGTTGATTTTTTGTTAAAAAAATAATAAATAAATAGACCATTGTTTTTTAAATAAATGACGCAACTGACAACATTATTTCTCAAATTAAAATAATAAGAATATTTAAATATTTATTAAATAGATTTAATCGTAATGCCTTAATAATTAAAATTTGATCTCTGATAAATTTGAATAGGTGACATTGGTGACATTATCTCATTACTTGAGAACGAATTATTTCTGCATTTAAATAATTTTATCAAAGTTTTTTCTACAGCATGAATATTACAATTATGTTCTGATTTGTTTTGCCACATTCTTTCTATTAGATGCCCCCAACTTCTATATTCTTCTGATATCTCTGGTAATTTTTCCTTATTATTAGATCGTAAGTGATCATAAAGTTTATCAATTGAAATATCTTTAAATGGCAGATTTCCCGCTTTGGACCAAGCGATTTCCCAAAATAATAATCCTAAGCTATATATATCAGATGAAGGAAGGAGTGATTCAAAGTCATCTTCATTTAGTAGTCTATCTGGGTCATACCATCGTTTCCAAACCATTTCATCAAGTGGAATCGTTATTTTTGGATACGCTAGAGTCTTCTTTCTGGAATGTAAGTTTTTGCTCCAAAGAAAATTAGATATTTTTGGTATTAGCATCTTTTCCGTTTCGTCATATTGCAGTAATATATTTGCACTTCGAAGATCCAAATGTAAAATTCCTTGCTGTAAAAGATAAAATGATTGTTCAAAAATAGCACTTTTTATTATAAACAAACAACAAAAAAAAAAAGTTAAAGAGTACTTACTCTATGCAAAGATCTTACCCCTTGCGTTATATCTAATGATAATTTAATTTTTTCTTCCCAATTGTTTAAAAGGTCCGTCTGATTACCTTGAAAATATGAGAAAAGGTCACCAAAATTTGCAAATTCATAAAATAATGTGGGAGTACAATTATGAATTGAATATCCGCCAAATTTAATGATATAATCGATATTATTTAATTTATGTTCGTTGTAAAGACAAATCTCTTTCTCGATACACGACAAATTTACGGCATGATCGAGATATTTTAAAGATCTCCCTGTGACAATCCAATTATCTAAAAGTCTTCTCGTTGAGTTAAAAAGTACTCCTTTGACTATCACTTCTGATGGAGATTCTAAATTTTCGATGCATGTTCGATCAACTGTATGATACCATTGAGTTAAAGCTCTTTCATTAATTATATTAAAACCATCAATATTTATGTTCAGTTTCATTTCCTTCACAAAATAATCTAATTCAACTTGGATCGAAACATTATGGATGTCATCTTGTGATGCTTCCAAACAAGATATTAATTTACCCAAAAGATTGTTGAATGATTTTCCGGCTTTTAATATGCTACACAATCGAAAGTGAAAGTAAAAAAAAAAAAAAAAAAAAAAAAAAAAAATTTAAGTAAAAATTTTTTAAGCATTCTATTAATATGAATTTGAATACTAACTGTCTAATATCAATGGTGTCATTAAACAAATATTTCATCTTCTTTCTAACAGAATGAACTAAAAGTATAAAGATATATTAGAAAATCGCGTTGTGTTCGAATTTTCAAGAAATAAGGAAATTAACTTACCAACACAATAACGCACGATTGACCTTAAAAAATAAATATATAAATGTACTTGTTCTTTTATGATATTTATAAATTGAACTTTCTGAGCACTATCGCCCCAATTTGGACATAAATCTTTAATCCTGTTCTTATGTCTATACATTTTTTGCGCGATTGCCTTAACCTCATCATTTTTAAAATGTTTTCTTCCAGATGAAACTGTATTCGCTATTACATCACAAAGTATTTGGTATGCATGTTCTAATGCATAGTATGGATCTAATGGATCGGTTGAATCTTTAGTATAATATTTACTATAATCTCCTTCCGGGGGTACGAATATAGTTTCGGTTGGAGAAGTCTCGGATGGAGATAATAACGTTAATGATGGTGAAATTGGCAAAGATGTTGGAGTTTGCTTTATTCTCGGAGACCTTGTAGGGGATGAATTTGGAGTCATATTTAATGTCGATATATTTGGTGGGTAATTTCGATGTTTAGGTTGCAGGTTTAATTTTAGTTGAGATAAACCGGAATTCGGGGGAGCGGGTGCCATTTCTGGTTGTTCATTAGGTCTAACGCAATACCCATTTCTATGTTCTTTACATATCCATAAAATCTCTTGAGTCTCTTCGTCAACGCATTGTACCAATCCACCAAAATGATCCGCACTTTCTTGCGTATCAAGAAATTCTAAAAAGTTCAAAAGAAATTTATTAATTGATGTGAAAAAAAAAAATCTTAGTTAATAATTTACATACTTTTTAGCATATGAAGACCTGAAGCATTTATCATTTGATGAGGAATATGAACTTCTTCTTGATTCAAAGGAATAAAATCAGGATTTTCATCGGTCATGGTTTTTACACCTATGTCAATAGTATCAATAATTTCTTGAAAATATTTCATAACATCAGAACTCTCAGTTATGTTAAAAATTGATGATAGAATATCAGTAACAACTTGTGGAAAGGCATTTAATGTCATAACTCCTATAGCACATGATAATGTTTTTAGACTAAGTCGAAATATTAAAAATATTTGATGTTAATATATATTTTAATCCATTATCATAAAACAATTATTTATATTCATATGGTAATTACCAAAGATTTATCCATGGTCCATACTTTTTAATAAATTGAGGAACTTCAACAACTTTGTAACCTTCTTGTTCTGGAATGTGCCATCGTTTCTTGTGTTCGCAAACAAATAGAAGACGAAATGGCTTTGAAAACAACCACGTCCTAGAATAAAAAATATCAAGTTAACAGTAAATTTAAATAAATGGAATATGGGATTCATATTAATTACATTGGCTTTTTCCAATCTTTTCGATCAGGAACCATAACGAATACTCTAGGAACCTTTTCATTTTTCAATTGGGCCAACTTTTTTTTTTTTAAAAAAAAAAAGATAAAAATAAATTTAATAAAAATAATTTTATGGATTTTTATGAATTTGAAAAAAAGTCACTTACCCATTGTGGAATTTTCTTGGTTAATTCAGATAAATCCTCTACGGCTTTCGTACAGTTATCAATTTTATCATTCAAGATCTTTAGGCTTTGTTTCATTTCGTTATGATATTTTTCAAGGAAAATTTGAAATGTTCTCTAAAAGAAAATGTATTTTTCAATATATATATATATAAAAAATTAATTTTTAAGATTAATTGGATACCTACCTGTGCTAATTTTGCTTGAAACTCTGCTTCACTTATTCCGGGTTGAACCTCAAAACCAGCCTGAGAAATATTATCATATACATTATATTTATTATTAACAATGTTCGTTGGTTCTAATAACCAGAGAAAATTAATACCAATTTTGATTCTTTAAAAGATGTATGTGTTTCATTACTGTCGATTTACCTTCTAAAAGGCGTTCGCCTAAACATATACTACTACGAATTGAAATTTCGCTATTACGCTTATCACTCTTTGTAGTCATGGCATAAGTTCCGATTTCTATTTGTACATCGCATTGTTAGCATATATATATATAATGTTAATTTTTTCATTATCATTTTGATCATATTATTTACCTCCAGAGTAATATGACATTCGCTAAAAAAAAAAAAATAATAATAATGCTTTTTTAATATCAATGATGAATGAAATAATTAATATTAAATCTTTGATTTGACGATTACCATGAATTCCTCTAACGACATTCTTCGAGAAATGTTTTTATCGAGCAATTTTCTTATAGCGTAGCAAGCGGAATTATCACGAATATTACTAAGTGGCAAGTATTTTGCTGAAATTATTTCATTTTTTTCATCATCATTTTCACGATTCCAATAATGTTGTCCTGGAAAAAAAAAGGAGGTATTTACCACGTCATTCAATAAAACTTGATACAAAAATTTCTAAAGAAAAAAGAATACCCGTTTCAAGATAGTATAAAACTAGCCCAAAAGAAAACATATCGATTGCAAAATTAGCTATAATTTCAATTTTTTTATCGTATGCTTTTATAACTTCTGGAGCCGAATAATTTGTTATGAGGTTTACATAATTTGAACTACCAACAAAACACGCTTCGTCAAAATCAATCAATTTCCATCTTTCGCCGTCCTTTTCTTGAAAGTACATGATATTTTGTGGCGTTATTTCATTATGAACTAATAAAATGATAGACCAAAGAATTTCGTTAGGTTAAATTTGCTGCGGCTCGATAGTGTTCGATTTTAATTTACCTATTTTATGTTTGTTAAGTTCTAAAATACCCGATACAACATCCTAAAAATGTCAAAAAAATATGCGTAATTTAGCATATAATTACACGTGACACGATCGATGCCAAAATTTACCTTTATTATTCCACACTTTTCTTCGTGCCTCTGGTTATAATCTTGATGGCTCAAAAAGGTTTCCAAGTCATATAGACCACATTCGCATACAACAATTGCTCGTGATGGACTAAATGTTATCATTTGCATAATATTCTATATTTGGACAGAAAAAGATTATTTAAAATTTAATAAAGTTCATGCACAAGCGAATATATATACAAACCTCAGCGTTTAATAATTCACTCAGCATTTTTGACTCTCTTTCAAATACATCTCTTGTATTGTAGTATTTTATTACATAATGAACTTTTGGTTTATTCGTCTCATATGCTTTATACACATTAAAGTTTCTACCATAACTACAACTTCTTATAATTTGATATTGCTCTACTAAATAAATACTTTTGTTAATTCGCTTTCACGTGATAACATTTATTTGTTAAATGATAGGTACCTCCACTTTCAAGCGTTAGGTTTTTAACTTCGAGCATTGAATTATGTGACATTTTCTTTTTCTTGTTTTTTTATTTTTTTAAAAAATAATAATAAATAAATAAATAATGTCAATCTGGTATTAAAATATGGAAAAAAAAAAATTCCGCTCCGTTCAATTTTCTTTTATGTGTCAAAAATTTAGGTGACGCAAAATTAGTTTATGATTACATAATCAAATATAAGTCTTGTGATCGTGTGGTAAAAAAGATGTAAAGGTTAAGACATTTTCGTTTCCTCTGAATAAGAAAAAAATCCTAATATCATTGATTCTAACTTAATTTTGCATACCACATAAAATTTTACTATTTATTTAAAGTTCTTTTATTTTTTTATTTTAAATAAAAATTCGTTTTTTTTTTTTATATTTTTGTTCCAACACATCAAACAAATTATTGTGATTAAATGATAAAATAAATGCTATATAAATCTCGATCATCTTTTTTTTTTACGCCTTAAATTAATAGTGATCCTAAATTGTTTCAAAAATTTACTTTTTCAATAATCAAGGCAACATTATCTTGTTATGGTTCTTTGCATAGAAGGTTCTTTATTTTTTTCCAAATAAGACAATTTTGAATCGTTAAAAGCCGACAATGTGCTAACTTAAATTGTTATAGTTCATACAGTCGTAATACATGTTGCCTTATTAAAGTTCTTTTATTTGTTAATTCTAAGTATGTATATATATATATCGATTAATTTAGTAATCTTTCCTAATCATTTTATTTGACGTCGAGCTCCTAAATATTTTTGTTATCAGTAAATTAATCGATCTCTTTTTATGCTAGTTTCCATGATTTAAAGGGGCATTAATATGCATTTTCATAAAAGAAAAAATATACTTCATTGTCTCAAGTGAATAAAATCAGCTTTTGGAAAAAACTGTTTAAAGTCATGACCCCTAAATTATTAATAGATATTAATAATAAACAATCATATTTTAAATAAATAAGAACTTTATAACCTGGAATATGCTAAAGTTCCCAGTTTTCACAAACGAAACAGTCACGTCCTAGAATAAAATTAATATGATGTATTGAAATAAATAAATTTGAGATTTGTATTATATACGATGACTTTTCGACCAGGAGAAAATATTTGAAGTGTAATTAACAATAACTTTGCAATTTTTTTATGAATTAGGAATTGAAATGAATTTTTCGCAATAATGTTTTAAAAAAATATAACAAATTAATTCATTAACGACTATCTGTGCCAATTTCCCCTAAAATCACCTTATCGAACTCGTGACATCCTAGGGATGTTATTTTACTATTGACATTCTTTGGTTTTAATGAACCAGATTAATATCAAACTTAAATTTTCACACTACTAAGGATTGAAATGTTATTGGTTGATTAACAATTTCATATAATTTGCTGCGGTTTTTTTCCTTTGAACAACTTATGGCCCTAAGAATGAATTTTTCGACCTGTATTTAGCTTTTTATCAAATAAATAACTTTTGTTTATTCGTCTCATTGGCTTTGCTACAACTTTTTATAAATAAAAATGTTGCATAATTATTTATTGATTAGGTTGTACCAATTCTCAGTCAGCAGCCGTCGACTAATTTGCGACTCTCATTTTCTACTATTAATAGAAATAAAGTTGCCAGGATCCCAATTGAAACTTTTATCTAATTGAGAATTTCATCGACTCAGTCCGGCTCAGTCATTTGAAAATTCCGGTACTGTACTTTTTTTATATTCAAATTATGCCATTTTATTTTTATATTTGTTTTATAAAAGGTGATAGAGAGAAAATAATAAAAATCCATACTTGATATAAATAAAATATTTCATTTCTCCCTTGCTAAATAAAATTTTTCTTTTAATTTTCACATTTCTTTTTATGGGCGCATCGTTAATTGGTTAACGATTTTATTATCAAAATATACAAGGCGTCTTTTCTTTACAGGATCATCAAGTAAAAAAAAGAGGGTTTCAATTCATTGTCAAAACCTTATTTGGTTACTCATTTATGTACCATTATTTAATTGTGCAGTGGTTTGCAATCACATTTGTTTGTAGTACCAAGTTATTAATTGATATTTTTTTATGCATTATAAATCAAAAAAAAAAAAAAATTAAATTCCTAATTGACCATCGACTTTTTAACTGACATATAAAAGATCTTTTAAAAATTATTGGCGCAGCAAAGTATTTTCGATAACGATTTGTCAATTTTAGTTTTCGTTACTTTTTGATTAAAAAAGTTATATATATATAATATATTATTATATTTGGATGTAACTTAAGAGATTTCAATCTAGGTTATAAACAGTTGCTAATTTTTCAAATCATTTACAGTTATAATTAATTATAATATAAATATAAAAATTCATTTTAAATAAAATTTAAAGTTTAATAAATAATATTTTAACTAAAGTTTTTGCATTATTTCTTAATTAATAAAATAAACTTTTCTAACATTTAATTTTCAATTATAATTGCATTATTTGATCAAATGATATCTTAATCTTTAATGAATATTTTATTTATTACTATATACTCTTCTTTGTATAGCATTATTTGTTAAATAATATATTTTAACAAATTTCACTATAACATATAATTTGTTACAATATTTAAGCATTTACTTTAAATTATTATAGACTTTAAATTTAATTAATTACTGAATTATTTTTTATTAAATAAAAAAAATATCAAATTTTTATTATTTTTATTATATATAATTCAAAATAAAAAATATTCTAATTTACAATTTTATCGTTAGAAAACCAAAAAAAAATTCATTATGAAAAAACATTATAAAATAAATTATGCAGGTATATTTCCAATAACCTATAAGGACAAAAAAACATTCTTAAATTTTTTAACTTATTGTCTCGGTATATGGAGGTAAATAATATTGTGGAGGAGGAGACGTTGGTATAGGTTGCTGATGCATTGAATCCGCTCTACCTTTAGATAATTTTCTCATGATTAGTTCCACAGTCATAATATCATTCCGAACTACTGGTTTTCGTTGCCACATATTAATGATTAAAAGCTCCCACTGTCTATATTCTTTCGGTATTTCAGGCAACTTTTCTTCCTTGGTTTGTAAATGTTTATATAGTTTCTTAATTGCGACTTTTTTAAATGGCAAATTATCTTCTTTACACCAAGCTATCTCCCAAAACAATAACCCTAAACTATATATATCAGATGACGGAAGAAGCGATTCAAAGTTTCCTCCATTTATTAACCTTTCTGGATCATGCCACCGTTTCCAAATCTTATCTTTTGATGGAATCGGTATTTTTGGGTGCACAAAAGTTTTGCTCACTGATAGTTTTTTACTCCAAAGGAAATTAGATATTTTCGGTATTAGTGAATTGTTCGTTGCGTCATACTTCAATAATATATTTGCACTTCGAAGATCTAGATGTAAAATTCTTTGCTGTAAAATTCGTAACTGGTTAAAATATGCCAACTTATTATTCTAAACAAAACAAAAAAAAAAAATTGAGATTAAAATGCCTACTTCATGTAAAAATTTTATGGCCTGCGATATTTCCCATGCTAACTTAACTTTTCCTTTCCAATCTTTTACAAGATTCTCTGATGAATTATGATTTACTTGGAAGTATGTGAAAAGGTCACCATAATCGGTATTTTCATAAAATAATGTGGGTTTGCAATTTTGAATTGAATACCCACAAAATTTCATGATAAATTCGTGTTCATTCAATTGATGACCGTTGTAAAGGTAAATCTCTTTCTCGACACACAACAAATTTTCAATGTTATCGAGATATTTTAACAATCTCCCCGTAACAATTATACAATTGTCTAAAAGTCGTGTCGTCGAATTAAAAAGCGTTCCTTGGGTTGTTTCTTCTTTTGATGGAGATAATAAATTATCAACACACGCTCTATCAACTGTGTAATACCATTGAGACAGGTCTTTATAATGAATTATATGAATAATATTTGAATCATCAATAGATACTTCAAGCTTTGGTTCACTAAAGAAGTGATCCAATTCAGTTTGAATTGCATTACTCTCAACGAGATTATGTGATGCTTCCAAAGCAACTGATAATTTGCCCAGATGTTTATTGAATGATTTTCCGGCTTTTAAAATTCTAATAAAATTTACAAAAAAAAATTAAGTAAAAGAAAAAATTCTCACATTATTTTAAATATGAATTAAGGAATACTAACTGGTGAATTTCGTATGTGTCAATGGCCAAAAAGGACATTTGCATTGTAACTGAATTAAAATCTTTAACTAAGTAGGATAGCGTGACAAAAATTGCATTAGTGATAGCTCGAATTAATTTCGAGGAGGAAATAGAAAGATATCTTACCAACACAATAACGTACAATTGACCTTAGGAAATGAATGTATAAGGCTACTTGGTTATTTATGATCTTTATAAATCGACCTTTTTGGACAATGTCATGCCAAAGTTGACATAAATGTTTAAAATTATTCTTGTGCTCACGCAGTTTTTCTGCAATTTGCATAACTTCATCGTTTCTAAAGTGTTTTCTTCCGGACGCAACCGAGTTCTCTATCACTTCGTAAAGTAATTTATTTAAATGTTCTAATTCAAGATACGGATCTAAGGAATTATTCAAATCATATTTATTGTAATCAACTTTTGAAGGTACGAAGCCCTCTGGAGGTACGAATATTGTTTCGGTGGGAGAAGTCTCAGGTGTAGATGTGCTCATGGATGATTTGGAGTGAAATTGTAGAATCGTTGGATGTTGCTTACTTTGTGATAAAATCGGAGATTTTTGAGAAGATTGTGGATTCGATAATAATTTTGAAGACGGAAGTTTTAATGAACCGGGAGATTTTGAACGTCGAGATTTTGTTGATGGCACTTGAATTCTTTGAGATACACTGGAATTCGGAGAAGCGGGTGCCATTTCTGGTTGTTCAATAGATCTAACGCAATATCCATTTCTATGTTCTTGACATAGCCATAAAACCTCTTGAGTGTTTTCATCAACACATTGTACCAATCCACCGAAATTATCCGAACTTTCTTGTGTATCGAGAAATTCTGATTAAACGTTTCAAAGAAATTTATTTAATTTATATCGAAAAATAAAAAAAAATATTGTGGAAATAAAAAAAAAGTGTTATTACTTTTTAGCCCGCGAAGGCCTGAAGCATTTATCATTTTATGAGGAATATGAGCTTCATTACTCAAAGGAGCAAATTCGGGATCATCATCGAACATAGTTTTTACACCGATATCAACAGTGTCAATAATTTCCTGAAAATGTTGCATAAGTTCAAAATGATCAGATATGTTAAAGATTGATGATAGTATGTCCGAAACACCGTGTGGAAAGATGTTCGACGTCATAACACTTAAAACGTAGGATAATGTTCGTAAACTAATCGGAATATTAAATAATTGATGTTATAATTAAATAAGCAATCATAAAAAATTAAAAATTTTAAATTCTTATGGTAATTCACCAAAGGTTTATCCAAGGTCCATATTTTTTGATAAATTGAGGAATTTCAAGAACTTTGCAACCTTTTTGTTCTGGGATGTGCCATTGTTTCTTGTGTTCGCAAACGAATAAAAGACGAAATGGCTTTGAAATAAACCACGTCCTAGAATGAATGAATAAAAAAAATATATTTAACTTAAAAAAAAAAAGTTTGAAATTTTTTGAAATTCATTTACGTACGCTGGTCTTTTCCAATCTTTTCGATCAGGGATCATAACAAATACTCTAGGGACCTTTTCATTTTTCAATTTAACCAACTTTTTTTTTTTTTAAAAAAATAAGTAAATTTAATAAATAATTTTATGGATTCTTATGAATTCGAAAAAATCACTTACCCATTGTGGAATTTTCTTGGTTAATTCAGATAAATCCTCTACAGCTCTCGTACAATTGTCGATTTTATCATTCATTATTTTTAGGCTTTGTTTCATTTCATTATGATATTTTTCAAGAAAAATTTGAAATGTTCCCTAAAAGAAAATGTATTTTTCAATATATATATATATATATAATTATATATAATTTAATCTTTTAAAGACCAAATAGTTATTCACCTGTGTCAATTGTGCTTGATATAATAAAAAATCCGCTTCACTCATTCCGCATCGATACTTATCATAGTTCAAAGTTCCTAAATAATCAGAAAAGTCAAAATAATATCCAACTTGTAAAAGTGAAATGATATGATTATTGTTGCCGATTTACCTTCTAAAAGTATGATAGAGCTGTTAGGACGAGTTCTGTTTAAGCTATTACGTTTACAGCGCTTTGGAGGCGTGGGATTACTTCTGGAATCTACAAGTAGTACTCATTTTTAGAATATATTGCTAACCAAATTATCATATTTATGATTATTATTATTGCTACCTGATTCACCGGAGTAATATGGCGTTTGCTTAAAAAAAAAAAAAAAAATAAAATAAAATAAAAATAAAAATAAAAATTATTAAGACATTTTTTTAATATCAATGATAAAATAATTAATATTAAATTTTTTAATTGTTGAAATACCATGAATTCCTCTAACGTCATTCTTAGAGAAATATCTTTATTGAGCAATTGTTTTATAGCAAAGCAAGCGTCGGAATCGCGAATATTACCAAGCGGCAAGGTAAATTCTTCTTTATCTTCTTTACCATCCCAATAATGATGACCTAATTCAACCAAGATAAACCAAAATATTTACTGCGCCATTCAAGAACTTCATAAGCTGTAAGAATCAAAGCAAAGTACCAGTTTCAAAAAGATATAAAATTAGTCCAAAAGAGAACATATCCATTGCAAAATTAGCTATAATTTCTATCTTCTCATCATATGCCTTTATGACTTCGGGAGCCGAATAATTTGTTATGAGGTTTACATGATTTGAACTACCAACAAAACACGCTGCGTCAAAATCAATTAATTTCCACCTTTCGCCGTCCTTTTCTTGAAAGTACATGATATTTTTTGGTGATAAATCAGTATGCACTATTAAAAGATATGGTTCAGGAATTTTGTTAATTAGATTTGCCAACCTCATATAAGTTTGCTTTCTGGTTTATCTATTACCTATTTTATGTTTTTGTAGTTCCGAGAGACCCGATACAATATCCTAACAATAACAAAAAATTACATTTCATTCGTTCTTAAAAACAAAATAAATAATAAATAAATCAATATATATTTAAATTTACCTTTATTATATCACTTTCCTCCTCATGTCTCTGGATATATTCTTGGTGGCCCAAAAAGGTTTCTAGGCAATATAGAGCACATTCGCATACGATAACCGCTTGCAACGGATAATGATTTATCATTTGCATAATATTCTACATGTGTAATAAGGATTTCTTTTATATAGAAAAGTTGAATAAATTCACGCATAAAACGAAAAAAATATATACAAACCTTTGCATTTGTTAATTCACTTAATATCTGTAATTCTCTTTCGAATGCATCTCTTATGATGTAACTTTTTATCACGTAATAGACTTCCGGTTTATTCACTTCATATCCTTTATATATCTCAACCTTCTTACCCTTGCTAATACTTCTTATGATCGTATATTGTTCTATAGAAATAAGTATTTTTTTTAAAAAAATTAATAATTAATAATCGTCCACGTGATCAACGCATAAACTATTATTAAATAATTATAAGTACTTTTAACTTCACCGAGTCTTTCAAATTCTCTTGGATTATTACCGAACATGTTTATAATATATCCTTGATATGAAAAAAATTCCTAGCATCGATGAAAATAAAATTCTCTCCACACGATTTTCTTTTTATGCAACAAAATTCAAATGATGCACAATAAACATGTGCATTTGGGACATTGTCCTTAGTTAAAAAATAAACGCCTATATGCTTGATGAGGTTTGGTTCCTTTGTTTGATGTTCTACATAGCAAATTGTTTCATTATCAGAACCTTATTTGGTTAGTTTATTCCAGTTTAGTGATAACATAATTTTTCAGAGATCTACGTTATTAAATTAAATCGATTACACTTTACTTGTATATATTAAAAACAAATTAAATTCAAGTTCTCAACATCATAATGATCAGAATAGTTAGGTTGAAACGTGCATAATTTGGGGAAACCAGTTTCTTTAAAAAAACCGTCCCGACCAGATTTTCTTTTACAATTCTGGTCCGGTTTGATCCGAATTTAGATCAACCAAGAATGACAGAATATGTAAATGCAATGTGATTGGTGAATAAAGCTTATCTCGTCGTATGATTGCGATATAACGTCTAGTAAGAATATTAAAAGTCCGATAAAATGGCACGAAAATATTTAAAAATTAATTGTTTAGAAATTTATTTATACTACAATTCTATATAGAAGAAATTTTATAATAAGATATACATAAATATTAATTTTTGATTTTGGTTAGAGGTAAAATGCTCCAAGATAAGATAAAGGACGCTTTATTTTCCTTCACCTCTAATACTATCGAAAAAGGCTAAAAGCGGCACGCTTTAACATTTAAAAGATATGCTCGTTTACTTAAAACACCCAGATAAAAGTTTTCTTATTCTATTCGATTCCGCCTTTAATGCAAAAGCGAAATAAAAAGAAAAGAAAAACTCTTCTTTGAGAATTTCATCAAACAATCCGGAGAATGCACTTTCAATCATCATGTGTGTAAAATAGATAAATTACTAAATAAATAAGAAGAATTCAATATTTTGACTATTCATCAATTAAAAAAATATATATAATTTCACAAAAGCTCACCAAATCCGGTTAATGTCAATGCAAAAAAAATGAGTAGTGCTATGACAAAAACTAACCAAAATTTCTTGCTATATTTATCACCTTCAACCCATGGCATTTCCCAGATTTCACTTATAGTTTTACGATTATGTGAGCCAATTAATTCTTCATTATTTAAATTTTTCGATAATTGAGAAGAAAAAGGCAAATCAATTTTTATATGTTGAGGTTTTTCATGACCGATTGAGTTGGATTTATTGTTAAATAAACTATGCCTCTTCGAATCTGTTGAACGTCTAATCTTTTGTGAACGATGTAATTGACCTTCAGTTGGAGGTGGTGTGCTTGTATCTAATCCTCTTTTGCTATCTATGGTGGTAGCAATTTCGGGTTCGCTTGGTAATGAAGAATATGACATTATGAATAAAATACCTTTTTTTTTTTAAGAAAAAAAAATTAGTGGTATGACTACAAACAAAAAAAATGGCTTTTTATATTTAATTTTTTGTGCTTTTAAATTATATTTTTGGAAACAAAAAAAATGGCAGTGTAACATTCCCCTGGTCAACTGGTCAATTAATCCAACTTATGTAACCTTCAAAACTGTCTCACGTGGCTTGTCCCTTTGGGCTAGAGCCTTAAAATAGACCAGGAGTTTTAAGAAACTGCGTTGATCAAGTGATCTATTTATAAAAATTTATTTATATAAAACCCTGTCTGTTTCAAGATAAATTTATCCGACATTTTTAATTTAAAGATCTGATATTTAAAGTCTTTTTTCTTTAGTTATTTTTTTTTTATTAATAAACTTTAAATTTATAAAACAAAGTTAATTATCCCTTAGATTGTAAGCAAATTTCTAAAAATTCTTTTAAAATTTTTTTTTATTTTTTTTTATTTTTATTTTTTTAATTATATGAAAAACTCTAAAAAAATTTTTAGAATTTTGTATCTTTCTATTGCAAAGCTCCCATATGGAGTAAGTGCTATAAAAAGAGAACAAATTGAAATTGTTTTCAAAAATTTATTCTAAAGTAAGTTAAATATAACTTTATTGTTTAATCCAGAACTTTAATTATTTTAAAAAAAGTTTTTTTACAATTTGGTTCTTTTTTGCAACACTTATCTCATATTATAAATTAAAAAAATAAATAATATAATTAAAAAATATATATTTATTTATTAAACAATTAAATAAGTATTAATAGAATTATTTTAAACTTTTAGTTTTTACTAAAATAAATTTAATACATATATACCAGGGGAAACAAAAGTATTGCACAGTTTTAATTTAGATATTTTGGTTAATTTATCATATGTAACTGAGTCATTTTTTTTAGTAACATATTGTTAAACTTATGCTTAATAAAATATTTAAATAAATGTCAAAATTAAAGCATTATAAAATGTAAAATTGAAAATTTTACTTTTTAATTTATCACATATATTAAGCTTCACTATAGGATTCAATATTTAGCTTTTTGGATATTTCTTTTACAAAAGAAACCCAATAATAATTATATAATGATATCCTATAATATTTATAATTTCTGAGTTACTGAACCCAATTTTTTGCTATAATAATACCATTTTTTCTAAAAGATAAGTCCTTTAATTATATTATCATTTGCGTTAAATCAAACTTTAAAAGTATTTTCAAATTCAATTTTATGAATTGCAACATATTAATTCAAACTATAATAAAAATATATTTCATTTATATAATTAATAATCAATATGTTACTAAAAAATATGGCTTAATTATATATAATAAATTAACTAAAATATTTAAATCAAAACTATGCATTATTTTTATTCTTCCTGATATTTAAACTTTAATAATAGCTTTATTAAAAAAATATAAATAAAATATAATCTGAATTTAGAATCAATTTTATTAATTTATTTAAAATAGGAAATAGCAAGGATATTGTAAGTCTGGATTATTCTAAAATTAATCACTTAGATGATATAAAACAAAAATCATGTAAATTAATTTTTTTAAAATCATATAAATGTACGTACTTTTTTAAGTTTAATAAAATTAATCATGTGAGCAAAAAATTATTACATGAAAATGTAAAAACAATTCCAAATATTTAATTTAGTAAATGAAATAAATAATCTAAATATTTAATAAATGAAACAAACTAAATTAATTTAATAATATGTATATTAAATAGTAAAATAGACTAGAAAATAGATCAAAAAAATTAATCAGTCTTTTAGACAATTTTCATAAATAAAAAAAAAAGATTATGATAGTAGAGGCAAAATGGGGGTTCTGGGGTAAAATCGAAACAATATCCAAAATAGATCTCTAAGCCTTTTTCAAATCAATTTTAGCTATATGAATCAACTATAGAATTAAAGCTTCTAGCCAATTTTAACTCAATTCTAGATGATGCTATCAAACTTGACTAGGAATTAGCCTGTCTGATATCAAGAACTACACTGTTTGATTTAGCCATTCTAGCCTGATTTT